CTAATTATAAAAAGGGTAAAAATTAGAAAGTTACATCTTTTTCTTTTTACAATTTCAATGTTACCACAACCATGTCTTAATAGGCTGTGAAGTTTATTCGTCTTATACTGAGGGGCAGAGTAGTATTAATTGTTATTATCAGCACAACCATTAAATTCATCTTGAAGCTTAGAGGACCATTAGCACTGCTTCGCAAGAATGCAGATATATATCTTCTTTGCTGACTTGTCCTAAAAGTAAATGGCAATATGACATCAAATTGATGGTGTTTGAGGGAAAAAAAAAAAGGCAAACAAGGATGTTTGTAAGATTAATCGAAAAGGAAAAGACAAGGTCCCAAAAAAAAAAAAGAGAGGATAAAAAAGACAAAAAAGGAGGAGGTAACAGTAACTGAATAACTACATAATGGCTTATGGAAAGTCGAAGGTGGGTGTTAGATGAAGCCACCTTGAAGCGTCGTATTGTTTGTTAGCCGACCAAAGAGAGAAATATACCTTCACAGGGCAAACAAACACATGACACACACCAACACAATCCAATCCAAGGTTCCCTCTTTCTCTTTCTTTATGCCAACCAACTAACCAACCGACCCCACTTCTCTCGTGCTTCACAATGCCGGCTTCCCTCTTTTTTTCAACCAGCAATCTCGAGTTCAAATCCTATATTTGCATTTTTTATTAAACAGAGTTGCTGCTTTTATAGTGCCTTTCGTGATTGCCACCACTTTATAGATTCAAATGCAGCATATACTGTGTTCATACATGGGACTATATCTCCTCTTGGTATGGGATACAGAAATTGCAGAGTGAAAGTTTGATGAAGCTCATCAGCTTACTTGACGGCTTGATGAAAGGCACATGTATAACACTTAAAAGACCGCCAAAAGCCGTCCTCTTTATAATGATGAACAAATGAACAGGACCAAATTAATTACTATGTATGACTTCTTCCTGGTTTCCCTATACCTACCTGGCTACCTCGTGTGTGGCACATTAGTTCTTCTTAATCTTGTGAGAGAGAGAGAGAGACATTGACAAGAGAGGTTTGAGTTTTAGGCGGATTCCCTGTACATACAGAGTTATAAATGAATATTTAGAAACCTGTTTTGTTTGTCTTCATCTATAAATTGATTCCTCTGCAATTTTTTTTTTTTTTTTATGTTTTGGTAATGAAAATTTGGAGAGACAAAGGGAGGAAGAGAGACCTACCTTCTACTTTATTTCCATTTGTCTGTATATGTTTCCTCTTATGCTTTGGTTAAAAAATGATGCTGTGTTGAAAATGAGTCTTTCCCCCTCCAAAAAGTAGGAATCTATCTTCTCTATCTGTCCCTTACTAAATCTTTTGTACCAAAACTAGGGTATTTGTCGTGCAGTTTTTGTGCTTCACAGCATAATCCTTCAAAATGATTTACAACAATCACGAGGGAGATCCTATCTCCAGGCTCAACATGAATTACCCCCTCCGATTTTAATTATAGTATAGGGCAAAGTTTTAAAACTCTATTTAGTCTTACAAATAGGGCAAAAATATAGTAGTTAATTTTTTTCTCAATATTGCCCCTCTTGATCGCATCAAGTTATAATTCTTAAACATACTTTATGATGATCATTAATTTTAGCGAAGATAAAATTAAAAAGTTAAACATTTTTTATAAGTTTAAAGATATTAACTATCATTCCTTAAGAATCATGAAATTGGTTAACTTTACCCTATAATTAGGATCAAAAGGGGTATTTGCTGCTAAACTTAACTTGAGCAGTAACATCTCAGATTATTGAAGGGTTTTTAGTTTCAATCCATTTTTTTATAGACTTAGTGTGCACAGGCTCGTGGGAAAGTGACACTTCAACATATCACTGGAAGATGGAGCCATAAATGAAAGTGGTTGTGGGAGTTGGAACCAAATTTCTCTCGTACCATACCCCTTAAATACATAATTATTAATAGTAACTGTTTGAGAATATCCTAGAGCCTCAGAACTCCCTCCTAATTGGAGAAGCTCCTTGTATTTAAGACAAGTGCAATCAGCTTATGAAAAGAAATCAAAATTTACTGATACAATCATTTTATTAAATTCTCATCCATATCTTAAATCCCATTGGTTTATTTTTCGTAGTATGGAATTGACCACTACTCATATCTGACGTGCAAAACTTATTAAAGAATTAGACATTGCGTTTGCTACAAAGGCAGTGCTTACAGAATATACTTAGCTGGTAATCTTTGTATTAATTTCAAAAGTAATGCACATAATATATAACGAAGTTATAGATTGCTTTCTTTGAGAATATTGATGTTATTTTTGAATTATATTAATTTCTGTTCTCACAGAATATACTTTTGTTTTCTGTATGAAGCTAATTTCCTGCATTTACCACAAGAAGAATATTCTGACTCCTGTAAGTCAAAAGGGAAACTAACTTCTTAGCTCTTATGAACCAATGGTGATTAGAAATTTCTAATACTATAAACCTTTCCTTTTCCATTTTTGCAGGCGTCTCCAGGCTCCTCAATCTCAATGGAAGATGTGAACATCTGGCTATCCTCCTCCATGAATGAGAATCTCAATCACGATTTCGCCATTCGAAGGTTCTGTCCTTCGAGAATAGAGCAAGAGCAAGGAGATCAGAGCCAAGATCATCAAGAAGAACCACCAACAGTACCTGGTGAAACTGAACTGTCTTCTCCCGGTGCTGCCACCACAAGCACTCCATGTCTGGCTTCTTCAGAAGTTGAGGAATTTGTTGATAGCGTCATCAATATGGACCAGCATGACGATAATGAGTATGCCAATGTAGAATATCAAGAACCTCGAGAGAATCATCATCATGGTCAAACTTATGATCCTTTCATGGTGAATGATGATGAGATTGACCCATTCGCTATGTTGAATGAAGAATATTATGGGTATGTTCCAATCACAACGGAGGGAGAAGAAATGGAGATGAGGGGCACCTTTGGTGCAGAAGAGATGAGCCTTGGTACGGACAAGGGGCTAGATTTGCTTCATATGCTGTTGGCTTGTGCTGAGGCTGTGGGCTGCAGAGACACTCAGCGGGCAGACTTACTGCTTAGAAAAATTTGGGCTTTGGCTAGTCCTTGCGGCGACTCATTACAGAGAGTCGCTTATTGTTTTGCTGAAGGATTGAAGTGTAGATTGTCACTTCTTCCTCACAATGTATCTTCAGATAATACAGCGAAAAACAGTACTACCATAAATGCCTCTTCGGTAACGAGGGGATGAAGTTGGAAGCTTTTCATCTCCTTTACCAAACCACACCATATATTGCTTTTGGCTACATGGCTGCAAATGAAGCTATATGCCAAGCATCACAAGGGAAAAACTCTTTACACGTAGTTGATCTTGGAATGGAACATACCCTTCAATGGTCTTCCTTGATAAGGGCTCTTGCCTCGAGGCCTGAGGGCACTCCAAGGCTCCGGATCACAGGGTTAATCAACTACGAAGATGATGAACCGAAACTTCAATCAAGCATGAGTTTTCTTGCGGAGGAAGCAAGCTCCTTTGGGATAGCACTGGAGTTCCACATAATATCAGAGCCGGCAACCCCGTCTCTTCTAACTAGGGAGAATCTGAACTTGAGAGAAGGAGAAGCCTTGTTTGTTAATTGCATCCTGCACTTGCACAAGTATGTAAAAGAAAGTAGGGGTTATCTCAAGGCAATTCTGCAATCAATCAAGAAGTTAGGTCCGGCTGCACTTATTGTGGTAGAGCAAGATTCAAACCACAATGGGCCTTTCTTTCTAGGGAGATTTCTGGAATCATTACACTATTACTCTGCCATTTTTGACTCACTTGAGGCAAGTATGCCAAGAAATAGCCAGCCGAGGATGAAAATCGAAAGATTATATTTTGCAGGAGAGATTCGCAACATTGTAGCTTATGAAGGCCCTGATAGGATGGAAAGGCATGAAAGTGTAGATCGATGGCGAAGGCAACTGGGACGAGCAGGGTTTCAAGTCATGGCATTGAAGTGCACAAGTCAAGCTAGAATGATGCTTTCTGTTCATGACTGTGATGGATATACATTGTCCAGTCAGAAGGGTTGCCTTCTGCTTGGGTGGAGAGGAAGGTCAATAATGATGGCTTCTGCTTGGCAAGAAGCAACTTAGTAACGCATTCATGAAAAATTCTCGGAAAATTGGAAGACTAATGCACGCATGTTATGCTTGTTATTGTCATGAGATCTATATCTGACATATTTACATGTTTAGTAATGATTAGCTTGATCTATTTATCTTTTACAGCGAAATAGAGGAAAAAAGACAGCAGAATGGTTGTGCTCTCATTCACAGCCATGATTGGTCTCTGCAACATGAGATCCGAATAAAGTCAAAATTATCTTCTACCTCGCCATGAATCTTTTCATACTCGAAAAGCGTTAAATTTTGTAAAAAAATGTTTAGTTGTTCATAATTGTACTTCTTGATCATGTCAGGGACAGCATTCCCAAACCATATTTATTAAAGCAAGGAAAATAACCTACATCCTCAAAGTGGCAAAAAGTATAACCAATTTAACCATTTTCCAAAGATCACTTCTGAACTCGCCACGATAGCTGAAATATCAGAAGCATGAGACTACTTCAAATAATGTTCTTCTCTTCTTTTGGGTTTACTATCCATGACCCCGTGCTACTTCTTCCAACATTATCCTTATTGTATCTCTTGCAACTAGCAATACAAACGTATATTTACAATGTTTTTTTTTTTACCGAAAAATGTATATTTACAATTTATAAAGAAATTATTTGAATAAATCAAAGTATCTAAATAAACGGATGTGTTAAATGAATGAGAAAAACTGCATTTTGTTTGACCTTTGGCAGCAAAAAGAGGAGAAGACTTAGTTATATGCAGCTGAATGTTGAATTTGATCATGTTACAGAAGCTGTAGCCAAGAGAGAGTTAAATATATCCCAGTGTCTCAAATTTAAGTAGTTCTGTAACATATACAGGCACAAAAAAATGAACCCTTCAGTTTCAAGTTTCATTCTATTGTAAGATCAGAGTGTTCCTTCAAAAGAAATAGTAGGAAAGAAAGGAACCAAATTCATAGTCCAAGATTGACTGTGCAAATACCATTACAAACAAAATTATCAACAACTATGATTTTAATGTGGTCCGGCACACAATACATCCAGTAAGCAGGAAAAAAAAGGAGGAGAAAACAGAATTTTACAATGACAATCCTTTATGTACTATTGCGAGACTTCTGTATAAATATACCACATTTGCAGTGCAAATGAATTAAGTTAAAGGCATCAGATCTGTTGAACAATCATTTAGATGCCTTATAGCCTTGCCCTTTGGTCTGACTAGCAGCTGCAGACATCACCCTTAAGCGGCGAGCAATTTCTGTGAATGACGGCCTGGCTGCAGGGTTAGGTGCCCAACACTGCTCCATTAGTTGCCGCCACTCATGATCGCAATAACTGGGGATTGTTGGCCTCAATGTGTTATTTACAATGCCTCCTGCTTGTAGTGTGTGTCACGGAGGCAGTGAGATACCAATCACAACACCATAGGAAAACAAGGATAAAGGTGGAATGATGGGATGCAAGGGCGACATAATCTGATACTTTACATTCAAAATTCATAACTCAAATTTAGAATATCTTTAAATCTGTTCTCAATCATAAATTATTTTACCTAAGCGAAGCACATCTGATATCTCCCAGTGATCTGTTATGAAACAGATCCTACAGTGAAGCCTGACCAAACTATAAAAACTTCCAGCAAATTTCAAACAGAAGTTTAACTGTAAAAAAATGATGTTTCTGGTGAACGGAATATTCCAACGGAACGCATAGATTAAGGAAACCACCTAAACCTATATGATGACTTACTTTAAGAAAGTGATAGCGGAATAATTCTCAGTCCAAAAAGATGATAGAAAGCTCATAATTCTCTCAGTATATGTTAAACAGATCATCCAACTCTATTACCTTACAGAAACAACCTCTGCTCAGGGAACTGATCATATATCCGGTAATTGGCATAATAAGATGGTCGATCTTCCAGGAGATATGTTTTATTACCTTGATTGTCTTTTCTTTATATTGTGTCGTCCACGTTCAGGAAATTTATTAATTTGGTCCAAAAGTAGGTAACTTAGATCAGTACATGTGTGTGTGAGAATATATAGGCTATAGTTTTGCCCGATTTGTTTATATGGACCTTTTATTCCAATTGTAACTGACACTTATTGACCTACGCTTTAAAAATTCAACTATTTGATCTTTAGTATTTAAATCCTCTGAAGATGAGAATCCATGAATTTCATGAAGTTTTCCGTTTTAAGAAAGAGAGAAAAATTTATGTTTTATAAAAAACAATAAAATGAGAGAAAGTACTAAAAGGAAAACTTCACATAAATTCATGATTCTCAACTCCAGAGAATTTAAATCCTTGATCATAACATTAAATCAGGCTTGTTCTCAAGTGTAACTCGATTATCATGAGTTATCAGTGAAAAATGCGTTGGCTAAGACTCGTGCCTTAGAAAGGTAGAAGAACACTCTGAGGTAAAGCAACTACAGACAGCTTTAAGAAGAGAAGAGAAGAGAAAGAAACATACCTATGATTGCACCATAGTGCATATTAGCATATGGTTCTTCACCAGTAAGAATCTCCCATAATACAATGCCAAACGAGAACACGTCAACCTAGAGAGTTGACAAAATATGTCATCAGTCCGTGCTTGCAAGGGAATATTAAGATCATATACAATAAAGATAATGAGAGACCATTAAAACAGTCCCACAGAGCACGGAGCTACACATGATTAATTTTAATTTCAATGCCAACAAACCGGACAATAAATCAGAAGGCCCAAAATAAATTATTCTGGGTGCAGTAAATTAGAGAAAAAAAATGAAGTTAAGAAAATTTCAATTATAGCATTCAAAAGAAATGCATGAAAATTCCTCCTGAGAAATAGAAATAAAATTTTTAGCTGGTCAGAGACACCATAATCTGAGATACAGATAATTTGAAGATCTATTGGAAATTAAATAAATGTCACCTTTTATATCAATAAATAAATAAATAAATAAATAAATGTCACCATTATCTCTTTATTGGTCATCATAAAATTGCTCTACTCTAGTGAGTAAAATTTCAGATGAGAATTTGAAGTTTTACCTTCTCTGAGACTTTATTGCTGCTGCCATTCAAAAGCTCGGGCGCCATCCAAGGTAGGGTTCCTCGCACACCACCAGAAACCAGAGTATTTCGTTAATTTTTGACAGGCCAAATCACCAACCTGGAGATAGGGCACGTGATTAACTTCTTCAACAGTCAAGACAAGTTGCCAAAAGGAAAACTTTGCAACATAAATACCTTGCATATTGGCCGTAAAGGATCCTTTAAGTTCACAAGCAAATTGTCACACTTCAAGTCAAATGCACAATATTTTTTGAGTGCAAATACTCCATTCCAAAAGCTGCATCCATGGCGATTATCAGCCTCTTGCGACGATCTAGATACCTGGAACCAAGATAGTGTCAAAAATCCAAGAAAAGAAATCTCTTTCAGGAAAAAATATATATTATGCCCTTAACATGATAACAAATAGGTCATGGTATCAAGGGTTTACGTTATTAGCTGACTGTGATATCCAGTGATATTGTCAATATCATATCAGTTTCTTTCAAACAATGTAAGGGGTAGCAGGCATGGATCTTGTAATTTTCTTGTAACATGATGGTATAGGCATAACGAGGCTCAATGGAAATGCAATAACTCAGGATAGACCATTTACCTATCCTTGCGAACCAAGACATGCCTTAGAGAACCATCTACCATGAACTCTGTAACAGTGGCTAATGTTCCTCCTGGCCCGTCCTGCACTCACACCATAAAATGCCACCACATTTGGGTGATGAAGCTTGGAAAGTATGTCAGCTTCCCGCCAAAACTCTACAGTCTGAATGGAAACAAGGATCATCAATATAGAACCTCTAAGAAGACACTGTTGTTACTTTTACACTCACTTTCATGCATAAGTGGCATGAAAATAAAATCTAACTATGATTAAAAAAGAGTGAAAGAAAAAAAAAATTACTTATGATTCAAAGGCATGAAGAATACATTACCATCTCTCTTTGTTTGAAGATTCTACCAGTGAAGCAGCTTTTCTTTATTCTTTTAATGGCAACATCAGTTCCCCTCCATTTCCATGGTATACAGTCCCAAAGGTTCCTGAAACCCAATTCTTTCAGTTCTTCAAGATCTTCATTATTTATCAGCTGCTATGCATAAAATCTTTCATAAATGTATGTAATCTTGTACACCTTAATCTATAATGTCACCCATTTACCAATATTTTAATATTCTTTGTTTCAAGAGAAAATGCAGATATAACGTATCATCAGGAGGGCATGATAAAAGTAATGTGAGTTTAGATCCTTAAATTTTTTATATGCTTTACTCCTATAGTAGAGGGATTTTTTAGTAAACAAACCCAGACTTATACCTGCAAGTACTGATGTCAATACCATCCCAAGAATGATCATGCGGAGATGACCAATATTCCCTGTTTCATTCTTGAACATCCTAAATTCAATCCATTACAAAATTTATCAGTGGAAAAGTATATTTGGGTATATTTTTCCC